AAAAACTTGCCTCAGAGAACAAGGTGGAGGGGATGGAGAGAAGACTCAGTAGTTAGGGGCACTGGCTCCTCTTTTAGAGGACCTGGCCTTGATTGCTAGTACCTACACAGCAGCTCACAATCATCTGTAACTCCAGTTCCAGAGAATCTGACACCTTCTTCTGGCCTCTGTAGGAACTAGATTCACACATGGTACACAGAAATACATTCAGGCAAAACACAAATATACATAAAATAATATATATATATATATTAAAAACAAAAAGACAAAAACCCAAGGTGGAGAGTGACTACAGAAGATACCCGACGTGAGCCGGGTGGTGGTGATGGTGGTGCATGGCTTTAATCCCAGCACTTGGGAGGAGAGGCAGGTGGACCTCAGTGATTTCAAGGCCAGCCTGGTCTACAGAATGAGTTCTAGGACAGCCAGGGCTGTCACACAGAGAAACCCTGTCTCCAATGCATCCCCCCCTCCCGAAAAGATACCTGACATGAGACTCTAAGTCTTCGAATGCGCGCACGCGTGCGCGCGCGCACGCACACACACACACACACACACACACACACACACACACACACACACACACTACATGGTATCTGACAAAGACAGGAAGTGAGCAATAGCTGGGCAATTATGAGTCTAGAGTTCTTTGGTGTGTTTTTCTAAGCTCTACATCAAGCCTTTTGCCTCAGTTTTCTCTGGATAAACGGAAATTTGTCACCTACTTGTACAGTTTGGATGCACCAGAACGAATACACAAGACACTTAACTTCATCTATGACAGAAGTGCTGGATAAAAACTGCTGGGCCACATACTGCTTGACAGCTGTCACTGGATGCACCAGAGCCTGCAGCACACATCATAACCTGCCCCTGGTACCCACGACCTCTGACATTTCAGTCTGCAGCCAGGTCTAAGGGCGGGGCCTCTGGGCCTGTTCGTTCCTGCTGTCTGTCTGAGAATGAACTCACCTGGTTGTCAGAGCTTAGGTAGCAGGAGTGGCCCTGCCTGTCCTAGGAGTTCTGGATATCAACCACGGCCAAGGACTCTGCTCTAAATTGCTTCGTGTGATCCCATGAAGACTACTGAGGTAGATGGGTGCCCTGTCCCTGCATTAGTGCACAGACTACTATGTCTCCTGCAGCCCATCCTGGGACCCAGCTCCTCCACAGTGGCTCTTTGAGCATAGGTATTCAAGAGCCCTTGCTCAATGGTTCTAGCTTCTTCAATTACGGGGTCCTCCAGAGATCCAACCCACAGTCATTCCTGTTCTCAAAGAGAAGAGAACCACATCATTAGGCTGGGATTAGAGTGAGACCAGAGAGGCATCTAGCAACAAAATTTAAGATCTTCATTGTTAAAGCTACCAAAAGGCAGGGAGGGTCTTATTTAAAATGAGACTTCAGCCAGGCGGTGGTGGTGCATGATTAAAGAATCACAGCACTTGAGAGGCAGAGGCAGGTGGATCCCTGTGAGTCTGAGGCCAGCCTGGTCTACAGAGCTAGTTCCCAGACAGCTAGGGACACACAAAGAAACCTTGTCTTGAAAAACCAATAAAAGAGGAGGGGGGGAGAGGGAGGGAGGGAGGGAGGGAAGGAGAGAGAGGGAGAGAGAGGGAGAGAGAGAGAGAGAGAGATCGTTATATTTTTGTACCTGAGTGCCTCCCGGAAGTCTGGACCTAGTCCTAAAGCCTGTTTCCCCCTAGCTCATTCTCCACCAGCCCTACCACTTGCTTGGCGCAAGTCATGTGGCCCTCTCCCCGATTCTCAAGCTCCATAAGTAGCTCCTGGGGCTGGTATACCACAGTCAACCTACATGGCAAGTGGGGCCCGGACTAGATCCTTTTAGATCTAGTGGACAACAACTCTTGGGCTGGTTAGAAGGTTAAAAACATGTTCCGGAGCCGAGGAGATGGTGAAGTGGGAAAGAGAGCCGGCTGCACAAGCATGGGCGTCTGAGCTGGGATTTCCGAGCACCCATGCAAAGCTGGGTGTGGCTGTGTGAGCCTGTAAGCCCTGCACTGGGTGGAGTAGAAAGAGAAGGATTGTTGAGGCTTGCTGACCAGCCAGCCTAGCTGATGAAAGGCAAGCTCCAGGTTCAGTGAGAGACGCTGTCTTAAGGGAACAGGGCAGAGAATGTTAGAGAAGACATCAGATGACCTTCTCTGGTCTTTGCACATGTGTGCTGGAGCGTGAATGCGCACACACACACACACACACACACACACACACACACACACACGCACACACATGCACAAACACACATACACGCACGCACAAACACACACACATATTCATCTTCTGAGAACTAGAAAAAAATTAAACAAACCAAATCACCACCACCACCACCTGTATTCTCTTGAGCTAGACAAACTTATTTCTCATGTTTCTTTTCAATATTTCTCAAAAGGATTGGACAGAATGATCTTATAAAATTGGGATCAAGCTGGATATAGGTTCTGAGCCCCCTCCTCCCCAATTTAACTTTGTTTTTATTTGCTTGATATGTTTTGCTATTCTTGGTTTTCACGGTTCCATATCAGGTTCTTGAATCACTTTCTCAATTTGCAAGGGAAAACATCTATTAATTTCATATTGGGTTTATACATCAATTTGGAAAATGTTGACAAGTTACCAATATTATTTCTTCCATTCATAACAAAAGATTTCCATAAACTTAAGTATCTTTTCAATTCCTTCACTGATATTTTTAAATTTTCAAGATGTAATTTTTTTTTTTAAATTTGGGCTTGGTCCCTCCATTTCAGAATGCACTGAGGTGGCCCTGCCAACAATCCTAGCAACAGTCTTACTTAGGGGACAGAGGAACCACAGCACAAAGGAGAAAAGGTCAGGAGTGAAAGACGCCTTCTATTTACAGAGTTACCGTTTACCAAGGATTCTGCCCTCCTTGCTGCATCTCTGGGCACTCGATCTGGAGGTGCCTTTGGTACAAGGTAAAGAGAGGCCTGCCGGGGAAGGACCACTCACGTCCATGTTCACATTCTTGTATGGATCTTACTGGGACCCTGAACTTTCCCAAGGCTGTGATGGCCTCTGGGATCTGTCTGGGGAAACCCCTGGATCTCTTGAGGTCCCTGTTCTGAAGCACCTGTAGTGACTGAATGCGGGCCAGGGATGGGAAATCAAACAGCACAGAGCTAGGGAAAGGTAGTGACCTACTCTGTCTCCAAGTGGTAGGGATGAGAAGCCAGACCCAGCAAGGCTCAGTAAAGGACTCTGGGGGCTAGACGGGCTTTCCTATGCATCCAGCCTCCCTGTCCCCTCCAGGAGGAGGATGTGTCTGAGAATGGTGAGAAAATTTACATCTGGAAGCCACTCAGAATAAGACTGTAGACGCAAAGCCTCAAGAGCAGTGGGCCTGCAGGGGATGCTGTTAAGAGGCTACCAAGCCAGTGTAAGTGCCCCCGCAGGACATGGGGCAGGGGCATCATTTCCCATCTGTGGGCCAGAGACCAGATCCAAGAAGCTCTGCTGTTCTTGTCTGGACCAGACAAAGGTGCTCTTCCTCCTCTTCTATGCCAGAGCTTGGTTGCTGTACCTATAATCATTCCAGCTCCCACTGCCACGTCTCATACCAGCTAGAGCCCATTGCCGCTTTGTACAGACTACTTGCCCATCCCTCCCAACATGCCAACAAGGCTCACAGGTGATGTGCAGCTGTGGCTGGAGGGAGGTCACAGGGCAGATCAGATCCATCTTCACACTGAGAGGCCCCCATCAGAACATCCTGTCCTAGAAGAATGTTCACTGGCACTTCACCCACTTTTGTACCAATCTATAAGCAGAAACAGCAGGAAGATTACCAGACAGGCTGGATCTTCCTAATAGGATTAAGCTTAGACTATTCCGGAGAATATTTGGTAACCCTACTGGACCTAGGTAAGAAAGCTTCCTTTCGGTCACACAAAGCAGAGGTGGAAAGTTGCGGAAAGAGAGAAACGTGGGATCATTTTCTCTGCCCAGAAGTATGAGGTCTAGGAGAGGTGGGGAACTGAAGATGGCCTTCAGGAAAACATGTTGCTCCTTTCCAGGACTAGGGTGAGAGAAAGACCCACACAGAGCCAGTAGGGTAATCATAAAGACTTTCTAGTGAAAAGTGAAGCTCAGTGGTTTCTAGTCTTCTCTTTATTCCCAAGCACTTTTTAGGCAGAGTAGAGCTTAAACAAACGGACAACTAACTGGGAGGCAGAAGCCTTGGCCTCTAACCTTCCATCCAGGCTTTTCTCCGTTCTTGCCAGCTTAAGAGACTAGTGTGCAGGAGGAGTGCTCAGCAGAGCCTGAGGGGCCGCCAAATTTGGGTTGCAGGAGATCAAGTAGGTGGCACCTAGCTGTCTCCATCCGCCCAAAGGCTCCCTCTGGATCAGGATGGCCTGTCTTCAGGCCATCATTTGCTCTGCGCTCTGGCCCTCACCGTCGAGATGTGAACAGCAGATTCTACTTTCCAACTTAACACAACGTGGAACCACCTCTGTAAGCCAGAGCGGCTGGTCCAGCAGGGTCTGCGGTGTACACAGGCCGCTGCTAGGCAACAGAACAGGGCTCGACGCGGCCCTACTAGGGCCGGGCAAAACTACTCTGGCGTCTGAGGACTATATCATGGATGAGCTTGGGCTTCACATGCTCCTACTCTCGCTCTTCTTCTATGCAGTCGCTAGGCCCTCCACTTATTCTGAATGGTTGCTTACAAGCAGAAAGGCACACACAGACTCTGGGAAGCTCCTCATCTGTGAGTCAAAGAACCTGAATTGGAAGCCCCGACATTACCGTCCCAGTGAAACTTAGGACTCTTGGTTCCCGGCCTACTCTCCGCCGAGTGGCTCTGGGGGCGGGGCTCGCTTCCTCCCCAGACAGCCGCTCCCTCCAGGATGCCCGAACCCGGGCAAGCCCGGGCACCCGCAGGCCGCTCCTCCTAAGTAGGTCCCCTCCCGGAACAGGACCCTCCCTTGAAGGCCGCTCCGGCCCATGCCAACTCCTACCGGGCTCCAGCAGATGAGCGCGTCGGTGTCCGGGTCGCTCACGAGGGTCCATAGCTTGGTTAGGAAGGCCGGGACGTTGCTGGGCCCCGCTGCACCGGGGCCCACAGCCAGATCCATCTCGGACGAAGCTGGCGGAGGCTGGGATGGCGTTCTAGAAGAGTGGCTGGGGGATGAGCTAATGTCGTCGCTGTCCCTGCCGTCCGGGCCGCTCAGCCGTCCCCTGCGCACACACAGCAAAGCCTCGCATGGCCGCAGCCATCTTGCGACCGGCGCGCTCTCGGTAGGGCTGGCCCTGTACCCCCTGTGCGCAGGCGCAGTGACCTGCCCCGCCCACTTCACTGGCCCTGCCCTCGGGTGGCCCGCCGCTCTGTACGGCTGCGCAAGATGGCTTCACCCCGGCTGCTCACCAATCAGAGCCTGGTTAGGCGGGGCCTGGCTGAGGGCACACGAGGCGCGCTCGCTGCCGGAAGCGACAGTCTATCGGTAGCCGGCGCGGCGCAGCATGGCGGGGGCGTGGGATAAGCCCCACATGTCACCGGGATCGCTGTCAGAGAAGCGGCGTTTGGAACCCGATCAGGAGCAGCAGCCACAAGAGGTAACCTCGAGGTGGCGGGTTGCATCCCTCCGTGAACCAGGCGTGCACGTGGCAAGGCCAGGGAGGCCGGACCGTGGTGCTGGGTCTGGTGTCTTGCGGGTCGCCTGGAGCCCGGAAGAACCTCGTCCTGCCCGGGGTGTTATTTCGGAACCCTCAGCAGAGCACTACCTGCGCCGAGTCGGGGCGCTAGAATCCAGGGGTGGTTCTGTGGCTTGGACCGTGTTGAGGAAGGCAGAGACCTTTAAGGGTGCCCCTCACCACAATCTCTGAACCTTCCGACTGCGCTTCCTGGCCTAGGAAAGATTTCAGTTGTGCTCGTGTTGTGCTACCGTGGCAGTATGTCAAGTGTGTTGTGAAGTAAAAGAGGACGTGAGAATATAGACGCCTGAATGGGACCCAGGGCATCCAGCACTGGTTGTCATGGAATCATTGCTACTCCTTGTTGCTGGGCTCCTTAGGATTGCTGGTGCGGCTCCAGCAAGTCTAGGTGGGGGAAGGCACGCACAGCCATGTCTCTTACAACTGACTCCACAATTAATTGTGTCCTCCTCCCTCTAAGCCGTCCCCTGGTTTTTTGAAATGTACCTGAGCTGCTTCCTACATGCAGTTCTAGGTAATAGGCCCTTAGTAATCAGTTGTTTGTGCTCTAACTATTTGTACTACTTTTACTTCTTATGGTGGTATGTAGCTGGATTTTGGAGATGTCAATTACAAGAGAGTCACTTGAGCTGTGAGTGTTGGTAATGAGGGACACTCAACTAGGCAAGAATGTGGCAGTGGCACACGTCTTTAATCCAGCACTGAGGAGACAGAGGCAGATGGATATGTTAGTTTGAGGCCAGCCTGGTCTACGACGTATTGAGTTCTGGGTTAGCCAGGGCTGCATGATGAGACCTTGTATTCAAAACAACAACAACAACAACAACAACAAAAACTCCATGAGTCCAAAAACCAATTAGGCAATACTTAGCCTATTGGAAAACAGCGAAATTGAAATTTTTGCAATCACATGCTTCCTAAAGCGTGTTCAAGTTCTTGCTCAACTTTTGGACATCAATGATAGAGACCTGTTCACAATGCATGTATGTCTTATTATGGTAGATATGAAATGGCCTCTAGTCAATAGGGCTGCACTCAGAATTGTTTCTGCTCCAAGAAGACAGCAAGCAGGTGAGTTGTCTTAGTTATTGTTCCATTGCTGTGATGAAACACCATGACCAAGGCAACTTATAAAACAAAGAGTGTAGTCAGGCAGTGGAGGTGCACGCCTTTAATCCCAGCACTCAGGAGGCAGAGGCAGGCGGATCTCTGAGTTCAAGGCCAGCCTGGTCTACAGAGTGAGTTCCAGGATAGCCAGGGCTACACAGAGAAACCCTGTCTTAAAGAAACCAAACAAATCAAACAAACAAACAAAAAAGGAAGCATGTAATTGGAGGCTTGCTTACAGTTTCAGAGGCTTAGTCCATGATCATCATGGCGGCAGGCAGACATGGCCCTGGAGCAGTAGTTCAGAGCTTTTAGTAACTAAGAGAGAGAGATCCTGGTGTGGGCTTTTGAAACATCAAAGCCCCCTCTCAAGGACACACCTCCAACCAAGACCACACCCCTTAATCTTTCCTAACTACTCTACCAGCTGGGAACCAAACCTTCAAATACATGAGCATATGAGGGCCACCACATGCGTTTAGTTTGCTACAGGTAAATTTCAATTCATATCCACTACTCTTCGACTTTCCCGCTTGTCCATCGGCGGTTGGTCCCAGTCTTCAAGGTAAAAAAACTTCTATTGCAAGTGGTCAAAGCCTTCAGGGATTTCTGATCCTCTCAGGCCACAGCCCCATTCCTAGCTGGTGACCTTCTGGTTCTGGGACCCTTAGGTGCCAGGGTCGGGTGTGGAGTTTGTCAGTAGAGGAAACTTGGGCTTAGTGACACCGTGAGTGGGAGCTGAGCTCCAAAAAGCCACTGTGTTCTTGGAAAGTCCCTCTGTTGCAGGGCACTAGGGATTGGCATGTCTGTTCTGAGGGCAGGTTGTGTCAACAGAGGCAGCAGAAAAGGAGGACCCAGGTTGGGGGGATGGTTTTGGTGCAGGTGGAGGCATGTGACCAGGGGCTCCACTTTGCTGGGTGTGGTTCCTGTCTTAGCAAGCCCGCCAGGTGGCAGTTGTTACACACTGTCTTTCCCTGCAGCCCCCACTTCTCCGCGACTCCGATTCCAGTCTCTCTGACAGCGAGGAGAGTGTGTTTTCAGGCCTCGAAGATTCCGGCAGTGATACCAGCGAGGATGACAGTGAAGGAGTGGATGGGACCGGTCGTGACAAGGACAACGATAGAACGGAGGAGACCTCTGAGGAGCAGGCCCAGGTGGGTGAGGGAGGAGCCCCCGTGGGCTCTCCTGTGCATGAGTGTGGCCAGAAAGAGGACATGCCTGCTGTGCGAGGGCTGTTCTAAGAGCTGTACCACACCATCCTCTCCACGGTGTCTTTAGGAATTTGGTCCCCTATCCATCTTCAGACATTTGCGCTCCAGGACATTAGTTTGCAACCTCAGTTGTCTGAGCCTTTTCTGAGAATATGAAAATCCATATACCTGTGTCTTTGCCCCTCAGACAATTCTGAGGCTACCTCTATGGGACAGTAGGTTGGCACTTGGTCTAGGTATGGACTGAATTTTCTAGAGGCAGAGTCCAAGATGGGGATGCCACTGCTTAGGAGATGTTCAGCAGAAAAAGCAGGAGCTACTAGAGTTCAGCCCAACTGCCCGTGGGCCAGCTGCCCTTGGCACCAGAGGCGATGAATTACTGTACTGATGGGGAGGGTTACACTCTTCTCTTTGCTTGATAAAAATGAAAGAAAAGCTTAACTTGACTAAAACACAGCAGTTCAAAGCGTTCCGCAAACTAGTGTGCAATGGTTTACACTTCAGTGGCCCTGGTATTCTGGAAATCATGACCTTTGGTAATCAAGTCAACTGTCAGGTTGGAAACCAAGAAACCAGGCCTAGTTTGTCTCGGTTATGGTAAGTTGAAGAAATGTTGACCATGGTTTGTAAGATTGAGGGGGGCGGGGGTTAACCCTTCCCCTTTCTAAGCGGTTTGTTTTGATGAGTTTTGTTTTGTTTTTGTGTGGGTGTGGTGTGTAAGTGCGTTGTTCCGCGTGTGTGGCTTATACGTGCGGGTGGGCACAGAGTTGATGTCGGGGTGGGCACAGAGTTGATGTCGGGGTGGGCACAGAGTTGATGTGTCTTCCCTGATTCCTCCTCACTGTTCGGCTGAGTGGGGTCTTTCACTGAGCCCAGAGACAGTTTGCACCAAGGGTCTCATCTCTCCCTCCCTCCTTCCCCTGCTTCTTCCTCCCCTTTCTCTGTCTCTCCCTGCCCTTACTCTTCTTGTTGTTGGTTCTGGGGGTTTGACCCGAGAATGTCTTGCAAGGAAGGCAAGAGCCACAGCACACCTCAGCTGGCACCGTCTTGTCCTCACTCGGTATTGAGTAGATTTGTGAGCGTGTGGCCATTTTTAGTTTTGGTTTTTTAAAACGTTGATTTGGGAGGGTGCTGGAGAGGTGGCTCAGTGGTTCAGAGCACTGGTCGTTCTTCCAGAGGACCTGGGTTGGATTGCCAGCACCCATAGTGGCAGCTCCCAACCATCTGTAACTCCCAGTTCCAGGGGTTCCAGTGCCTTCTTCCAGCCTCCACAGGCACCAAGCAGGCATGTGGTACACAGACGTACACATGCAGGCAAACACTCGTACACATAAACTAACACATCTAAAACTTGATGTTGAGGTGTGTGTGGTGCGGTGGTGGTCCGGTGTCGCCCCCCCCCCCCCCCCCCCCCCCCCCCCCCCCCGTGTGTCATTGTCCTCATCCCCTTGTTTTCTTACTGCTTGGTGTCGAAGTGGCTGTTTCTACCTTTACCCTGCAAGAGGGTAAGAAAAGGTAGCGGTCCTGGTATGTGCCGCATTTTGTCCGATAACAGGAGAGTTCTGGCCTAGTGCCACCTTTAGCAAGAATGCTGCTGGGGTCTCAGTAGGGCTCTGGGGCATGGCTGGGATCAGCGGCTGGGAAGTGCCTTGGAAGTAGCTTGGCCGACTTGGCATCCCCGTGTTGGCGCCATCTGGTGGAGTATGATGTAGGAGCAGTGGGTGTCTGTGGCTAGGGAGGAGGTATCCAGGAATTCTCCCAGCCCCTGAACCTATTCATCTCCTGCCCCTCCCCTGCCCTTCCCCTGCCTCCCTGCTCTTGGACTTGTCTTCTGTTATAGACTCTGAAGGAGGGGGCAGGTGTTCCTTACCTGCCCCCGAATTGTACACTGTCTAAGAGTGATTGCATGGAAATCAGAGGTGAGGCAGGGTACAGAAGGGTCACTGTGTCCCTGAGCTGTAGTGTCATCTTGTGGGGCAGAAGGGTGCGTATCCTACAGGGTCTGGTACATTCTGTCCTAGGAAGCTGACGCTCAGAGTCTATCCTGTGTATTGAGTCCTGGATATGGATCCTGGTGAGAACATGCCTGTCACTTATATTCCTGTTCTGAGATGAGCGGTCCGGGGGCAGTTTCATGGCTGTCAAACCCTGTGGCCAGGGCCATGAAGTCTCCGTATAGGCTGCTTCCCTCTAGTGGGTAAAGCAGGCACAAGCCCTTTCCGGTTTAGGAAGGGCAGCCTTTTGTGGTGGGCTGAGAAGAACATAAAGATTTGTCATTATGGCTTATTTGTT